GCAGTCTTCAAATACAAATACTCATTTCATGCTTTAGATTACAGTTACTCTTAGTAAATGAAAAATTTAAATGTGTTTTATCTATACTTTGTTTTGGTAGCTAATATTCAAGTGAATCTTTTGAATTTATTTAAGGGGAATACTCTGACGTTAATCCTCTTGAGCCTCATCTGGTCAGTGATATTATATAATAAATGTCTCAGTGCTTTGCTTGGATATTTGAGTCTTTGATACAGTTACTTGGATATTTGATATTTGGAGTCTTGTCTATAAGAGAAGAACAGTTAATACGTTCTGTTTTCCTAGTGATACTTCTTTCATCCACTATTGACCATTTGTTTTGTATTTATAATTTCATCTAAAATTTTAACCTTCATTGGAATTGTTAGATTAGACTATAGAACATACATTTCCTTAGTTTGCTTTTACATATTGAGTTTGATAGAAATACAAAGATTTGCCCAAGCTACCAAAGAAGCTTCTTTCGCAGTAGAGCTGCTATTTTATTTTGTGGTCCTTTTCTAACTATAACATCTTAGGTGCGTGTAAGTTCCTCCTGGTTGATCTCTCTTGAAATTCATAGGCTTTTTAAAAGTTGGCTGGAAGTCTTCTGGTATTACTTCTAAATCATTTCACAAATTTTCTTGCCATCTCTTTAATGTAGACATTTACATTTACTAACAGTTGAACTGAATTTGTACTTTCTATTTTTAGGTTTCGATTTTTAAAAATCAATTTGATTTAAAAAAACATACATATTTACATAAAATTAGGTTCTCAACTGTAGGTACATCAAATTTTAAAGTCCTTAGGACCTAAATTTCAGATTAGGGTAAAAATAGTTTTCTCTATCATCATTGTATCTTCAAAATTCAGGAAAACATACTCCATTATATATAACTGTTCCTGTGTTATGTCAATCCTGTCTCCTTTTTCTTGGTGTTTATCTCATATTTCCATTAGATTTTGAGTTTCTCGCCTTCTAATACTTTCGTGATAAAATAAGCTTTTGAAGATTGTTTCAAAGAGGAAAGTAACTTTTAGTTGACCCTTCTGCCTTTCTCTTTATAAAACTTTTAAAAGTAAAAATTGAAGATGTTATTGGGTAAATACAAACTAGGTAACTTTTAAAACAAGATGTGCTAGATTAGCTTTATTTATACTCCCTTTAAGAACTAATAGCTTAGTATTTGATGTAGATCATAAGTTTATTTTTTATTTAACTTTTTACTATGGAAATTTTTCTTTTTTTTTTTTTTTTGATACGGAGTTTCACTCTTGTTACCCAGGCTGGAGTGCAATGGCGTGATCTCGGCTCACCGCAACCTCCGCTTCCTGGGTTCAGGCAATTCTCCTGTCTCAGCCTCCTCAGTAGCTGGGATTACAGGCACGCACCACCATGCCCAGCTAATTTTTTGTATATTTAGTAGAGACGGGGTTTCACCTTGTTGACCAGGATGGTCTCGATCTCTTGACCTCGTGATCCACCCACCTCGGCCTCCCAAAGTGCTGGGATTACAGGCTTGAGCCACCGCGCCCGGCCGGAAATTTTTCTTTTTCTTTCTTTCTTTCTTTTTTTTTTTTTTTTGAGACGGAGTTTCACTCTTGTTACCCAGGCTGGAGTGCAATGGCGCGATCTCGGCTCACTGCAACCTCCGCCTCCTGGGTTCAGGCAATTCTCCTGCCTCAGCCTCCTGAGTAGCTCAGATTACAGGCATGTGCCACCATGCCCAGCTAATTTTTTGTATTTTTAGTAGAGATGGGGTTTCACCATGTTGACCAGGATGGTCTCGATCTCTTGACCTCGTGATCCACCCGCCTCAGCCTCCCAAAGTGCTGGGATTACAGGCTTGAGCCACCGCGCCCGGCTTCTTTCTTTCTTTCTTTCTTTCTTTTTTTTTTTTTTTTTTGAGACAGAGTCCCACTGTGTCTCCCAGGCTGGCACGATCACAGCTCACTGTATGGTTGAACTCCTGGGTTTAGGTAATTCACCTCAGCCTCCCTACTAGCTGGAACTACAGTCTCATGCCACCATACCCAGCTAATTTTTGTATTTTTTTTTTTTTTTTATAGAGCCAAGGTCTCACTATGTTGCCCAGGCTGGTCTCAATCTCCTGAGCTCAAGCAGTCCACCCTCCTTGGCCTCCCAAAGTGCTGGGATTACAGGCATGAATCACTGTGCCTGGCCTCCTCATGGAAATTTTCAAGAGTAAACAAGTCAGAATACTCTCCACAATGTATTGATGTGTCTCTTAAGTTTCTTTTAATTTACATTTTTTTCCATCTTTTTTTCTTTAAACTTCATGTCATATATTTGGAAGAAACTGAGTTATTCTAAATTTGGTTGACTACATACTTAAGACATCGTTTAACGTATTTCTCTGATGGCTTGGTTAGATTTAGGTCTGATTTTCTTGTTGCATCACATCAGGATGCAGTAGGGTTGTCTCGCTTTTAGTAAGATTGATTAGGCTGTGTATATAGACCTAACAGAAGTGACCAAGTATGTCCACCAGAGAAAACTCATGCAGGAGTGCTCATAGCAGCTTTTAATTGCCAAATATTGGAAATAGCCAAACGTCCATCAGCAGTAGAATGGGTAAATAGGTTAACTGATAGATGCAACAGCATTCATGTTTCTCACAGAAGTAATGTTGAGTGAAGAAAGTTAACACAGTAAAGAGCATACCGAATAATTTCAAATATAAGAAGTTCAAAATGAAAAGTAACAAAAAAAAGTTCAAAATGAGCAAAATTAATGTCATTTAAAAATAAGATAGACCAATGAAATAATAGTACCTATTAAAAAAGTCTTTTCTCAAGCCGGGCGCGGTGGCTCACGCCTGTAATCCCAGCACTTTGGGAGGCCGAGGTGGGTGGATCACGAGGTCGAGAGATTGAGACCATCCTGGTCAACATGGTGAAACCCCGTCTCTACTAAAAATACAAAAAATTAGCTGGGCATGGTGGCGCGCGCCTGTAATTTCAGCTACTCAGGAGGCTGAGGCAGGAGAATTGCCTGAACCCAGGAGGCGGAGGTTGCGGTGAGCTGAGATCGCACTATTGCACTCCAGCCTGGGTAACAAGAGCGAAACTCCGTCTCCAAAAAAAAAAAAAAGTCTTTTCTCTGCCAAATGAGGTATCTCCATTGTTACATACTCAATTTCCATAGATATGTGTATTTCTATATTTTGTTCCATTTGTTTATTCACATGCCTGTATAACATTGTTTTAATTATAGAAGTTTTATAAGATGTTTTAATCTCCGACAGGGTACATTCTTTTAGCTATTTTTGCTTGTCTGTTCCTTCAAATTAATATTATAATCAGCTTTTCTTGCTTGAGGAAAAAAAATCTTAAAGGTGTTAGGATTGCATTAAATTAATTAGATTATTTTAGGGAGATCTGGTACTTTTACGATGCTGAAGCATTCTTTCCAAGAATGTAGTTTCTCTTCCTCTTGTTCATTTTCAGGAATGTTTTTTGTTTTCTGCGTATAGATTTTGTATTGTTTCTGTTGTTGAATTTAAGCCTGTTTTGATTTTTGTTGTTGTAAATGAGATCTTCATCTTTTTCTTTTTCTTTCTTTTTTTTTTTTGCTGCCCCCATCCCCTTAATTTCTTCTTATCGTTATGCTGTATATCTAAAGACCTGGTTTCTGTATGCTAATTTCATGTCCTATTTTACTAAATTTTCTTATTGTTTGAGTAGTTATTTTCATGGATTCTTTTGAATTTTTCATTTAAGTATATTATTTGCAAATAATAGATAACAATAGTTCTTTGCTTCCACCCTACTCTCACCCAAGTTACTATGCCACTAATTGCTTTCTCTTTTCTAATTGCTTTGACCATTGTCTACATAATGTTATATAGTAGAGGAGTCCTTGTTTTTCTAACCTTTAGTGGTAAAGCCTTTAGTGTTACCCCGTTAAAGACCTGGCTTAAAAAACAAACAAACAACAAAAAAAAAACCGAGCTATATAGGCCTGGCACAGTGACTCGGTGTCTGTAATCCCATCGCTTTGGGAGGCCAAGGTGGAAGGATCGCTTGAGCCCAAGAGTTCAAGGTTACTTAGAACCATGATTGTACCAGAGCAGTTAAGCCTGGGTGACAGAGCGAAACCCTGTCTCAAAAAAAGAAAGGTATATATGAGAAATATAATTTATATACCATAACATTCACCCATTGTAACTATGCAATTCAGTGATTTTTTTGTTTTGTTTTTTTGAGATGGAATCTCTCTCTGTTGCCCAGGCTGGAATGCAGTGGTGGGATCACGGCTTACTGCAGCCTCTGCCTCCTGGGTTCGAGCATTTCTCTGCCTCAGCCTCCCAAGTAGCTGGGATAACAGGCGCCCACCACTATGTCCACCTATTTTTTGTATTTTTAATGAAGATGAGCTTTCACCATCTTGTCCAGGCTGGTCTTGAACTCCTGACCTTGTGATCCACCCGCCTTGGTCTCCCAAGTACTGGGATTACAAGTGTGAGCCATTGTGGCAGCAGTGATTTTTTTTTTTTTTTTAAAGTATAAATTTATATGGTGGGTTTTTTTTGTTTTGTTTTTTTTTTGAAATTTATCAGGTTGTGCAGCCATCATCACAATCCAAATGTAGACATTTTTATTATTCCAAAAAGTTCCCTTGTGTTCTTTTACGGTGACTTTTATGTTGAGTGGTTTATGAGAGTATATTTATTTGGGTATTTTTGTGTGTATGTACATATAAATGTCTTATACTTGTGTGACCATATTTATTATCATTTAATGAAGTATCAGTTTCATTGCCTGTTTTTAATATCAATGAATAATATTTGAAAGTTTTCTTTTTGACATACGTGGTTGAATCAGTAGGTTCAAGTTGTAGTCTGTGGGCATAGTGAAACAGAAAAGCCTTGTTACAATAAATATGGAACATTGTAGTAAAATTTATTTTCTCTGAGTAAAGGAATATGGCATTTCATATTCTCAATCGTGTTATTCCATGTTGTTTGTTAAAGAAGATGGCATTCCCTGTGGATATGCTGGAAAATTGCAGCCATGAGGAATTGGAAAATTCTGCTGAAGATTACATGTCAGATTTAAGGTGTGGGGATCCTGAAAATCCAGAGTGTTTTTCTCTTCTCAATATTACGGTAAGGTGTTCTGCAGTGATTGTCATCAATCTTTTCAGTCCAATTTATACACGAAATAAATACACTTTTTAAAAAAAAAAATTACTTTAAGTGTTAACCATTCATTTTTGTAATCTACAGAAATCTATTCAGTAAAATGGGTAAATACTAGTTGATCAGTTTTTAAAAAGACAAAAGTCCAAAGGTTATTGCTGTTTTTCTTTATGTCTTTAAAATTATATGTGAGAAGTTCACCAGTTTTGCTAAAAGTGTTTACTATATTTGAGCTACTTCAGATTTACTTTAGACTTGGAATTTGTGAATTTAGAAAATTTTTTTAGTTAAAAAATCAGTAAAACTAAATTACAGATTTTTTGTGCCATGAATCGTTTCTTCTTTTTTCCAAAAAAGTAACATCAAATTTTCTAGTCAGTATATCAGGATATTTTGTGATAGAAAGATCACTAGACCTGGAATTATTAGAGTTTAATTGTGAACTGTAGTGGACAAATTCCTTAACCTCTCTAGGCCTTCGAGTTTTCTTCTGGAAATGACTCAAATAATTTTTTAAAGTCTTTCCCAGCCCAATATTTTTTATAATTCTCTGAATTGTTACCTCTAAATAGGGAATAAGTGTTGGATTAAATGAAGGCAAAAAAATGTTAAAGCATATTAATAACGTGTATCTTCCTGGAAAAATTAATTTACTTGACTGCTTTTTTTTTTCTTTAAAACTAGAAAATGGAATATGTCTTCCCCAGTAGTCTAAATAACAGATGATAAATTATAGTTGTTTTTTTTAAATGACTTTATGGGCCATTATTGTAGCTTTGGTTTTTATTCAGATGTGTGGCTAGAACTTAGTAATATTTATTGAAACAGATTTTCATATTTTCCCCAAGAGAATAAAATTATTCCAAAAGGAAAGTCTATCTGATTTACCCTTTTTTTTAGAGACTAGAAATGTCTCCTATAAAATAAAGCTATTAAAATTAATGTAGGAAAAGTTTACCACTTTAATAAAAGATTTTTTTTAATGTATTTTCTTAACAGACTGTTCACTAATCTTTATTCATTTGTCATTTTAGATTCCTATTAGCCTGTCAAATGTAGGCTTTGTACCTCTTTATGGTGGAGATCAGACCCAGAAAATTCTTGCTCTCTTTGCACCTGAGGATTCACTGACAGGTCTCTTTTTGCTTAATTTTTATAAATTAAGGAATTTTTCTCCAAACTGTTAGAAGTGTATTTAAAAAGGTAGCTACATGAAGGAATTTGCTTTTTAAAAAATGCGTTTCAAACGGTAATTTTAGGAAAATGTAATTCTTAATTGCTTATGGTTAAATGTTTGATGGATGAATGTATTGGTCTGTTCTCACACTCTTATAAAGAACTTCTTGAGACTGGGTAATTTATAAAGACAAGAGGTTTAATTGACTCACAGAGCCAGGCCTGGTGGCTCATGCCTGTAATCACAGCACTTTAGGAGGTTTAGGCAGGTGGATCACCTGAGGTCAGAAGTTCGACACCATCCTGACCAACGTGATGAAACCCTGTCTCTACTAAAAATACAAAATTAGCTGGGTATGGTAGTCCATGCCTGTAATCCCAGCTACTTGCAAGGCTGAGGCACAGGGATTTCTTGTACCCAGGAGGTAGAGGTTGTAGTGAGCCAAGATCACATCATTGCACTCCAGCCTGGACAGCAAGAGTGAAACTCCATTTCCAAAAAAAAAAGAAAAATAAAAAATTGACTCACAGTTCTGCATGTTTGGGGGGACCACAGGAAACTTACAATCATGGCAGAAGGGGAGGCAGGCACGTCTTACATGGTGGCAGGCAAGAGAGAGTGTGTGTGCATGTGTGAAGGAGGAACAGTCAAGCATGATAAAACCATAGATCTCGTGAGAATTCCCTCGAAAATGGCATTGGGGAACCCCCTGCCATGATCCAATCACCTCCAACTGGGTCCCTCCCTTGACATGTAGGAATTATGGGGATTATAATTCTAGATAAGATTTGGGTGGGGACACAGCTAAAGCATATCAGTGAAATAAAATAAAAATGGTATAACTGAGGCTACAAAGTACAATATTACTGTTTGGTAAAGGTTTATATAGATACTCCGAAATATAAAATATACAGATATTTTATAATATAATGTGGCCTTATTAAATCTAAAAGTGTACTGTAAAACCTAAGTGTTAATGATTATTTATTCCGTTTTAGCTGTGGCACTTTACCTTGCTGATCAGTGGTGGGCTATTGATGATATTGTGAAAACATCTGCTCCTTCAAGAGAGGGGCTTAAGCAGGTAACAAGATCCTCTAATTTTGAGTGTTTCTTTTAGGCCATTTCACAGTGTTTCCTATAAATAGTGATAGGTTTTGAAGTCATAGACCTCTTCCCCATTTAAAAATAATCAGGTTATATTAAACCCTAGAGTTTCATTCTTATGATGAAGCCAGTGTTCAGGTTGGGCTTCGTCTATTTTTATGTGATTCTTAAAGTATCTGAGATTGAGTGAGGAAGAATGAATACCTATGGGTTAGTTGAGCTTTGGCTACCTTTATCCACTTTAGCTTCTGATTTTCTTATTTGGTAGAGGAAAGGGTAGTTTGCTTAGTGTGATTGCTTAGCTTCTGTCTCTAGGAAACTTGTTTATTAGTAGGGCCTCCTCAGGTGATCTTTACGGTGTTCCCAACAGTGGAATGATCAGGTTCAGGAGAGAGCAAGCTTCCAGCCTCTGCAGGGTTATGGTAGAAGCCAGCAAACTGGCTTGCCAGAAGGAAGCTGGTTTTCATGCTAGAGATGAAAGGGTTTAAGAGGGATCTCTGGTGCTGTAGTTACTGGAGGATAAATAGGATAGGATGTAGAAAATCCATAGGAACCAAGATGTAACATACTTGAGGAGGCAGGGCATAATAAAAAAAAAGTTGAGATCTTTGGTGACTGGAAGAGCGAGATTTACAATAATATTGGAGAAATATGAAGCTGACTTGGTAGAAGGGCAATCAACTTTGCTTACTTAACAAGAATACTGAGTTTTTGGAGAAGCAGTACTATTCATTAACTAAGTGTAGCGTTCCTTGTTAATTAATCCTAAAATGAAGAGATGAGACTCTTGCTGAAGAGAATGAATTTTTTTTTTTTTGAGATGGAGTCTTGCTCTGTTACCTAGGCTGGAGTGCAGTGGCACGATCTCGGCTCATTGCAACCTTCGCCTCGCAAGTTCAAGTGATCCTGCCTCAGCCCCTCTAGTAGCTGGGATTACAGGCGTGTGCCACCATGCCTGGCTAATTTTTGTATTTTTAGTAGAGATGGGGTTTCAGCTAATTTTGTATTTTTAGTAAAGATGAGGTTTTGCCCTGTTGACCAGTCTGGTCTCGAACTTGAGGTGATCCACCTGCCTTGGCCTCCCAAAGTGCTGGGATAACAGATGTGAGCCACTGTGCCTGGCCAATTTTTTTTTTTTTTTTTTTTTTTTGTTGAGATGGCATTTCACTCTTGTTGCCCAGGCTGGAGTGCAATGGTGTGATCTTGGTTCACCACACTGTCTGCTTCCTGGGTTCAAGCAATTCTGCTGCCTCAGCCTCCTGAGTAGCATATGCTACCACGCCTGGCTAATTTTGTATGTTTGTTAGAGATAGGGTTTCTCCATCTCTAATAAACATATTATTAGAGATACATGGTCAGGCTGGTCTGGAACTCCCAACCTCAGGTGATCCCCCAGCCTCAGCCTCCCAAAGTGTTGGGATTACATGCGTGAACCACTGTGCCCAGCCAACAGTAGAATGAATTCAACAGAAATATATATGTATCTTGGTATTCTTCCGTTAGAATCCGTTAGAATACTTCTTGGATAGGCCAAGTCTGAAAAAAAATGTTCAGTAGCAAGGTGCCAGCTACTGTTCATTTTTTTTTTGTAGGCAATTGAACCAATCAGAAGAAACAAGGAAAGCATATCAAGAAACTTTGATCCCTTGTCCAGTTCACAGAAAAGCAAAACTTAGGGGCAGCAGCAGCAGGAAAAAAAGTTTGAAATCCAGGATAGGAAAGTGAGAAAGTTGCAGGCTAGTAGGGTGTTTTTATTTCTTCCCTTTGAGTTGGGAACTTTGAAAGAGATGGGAGGATATGAGAATAATACGCTTAGTATTGTTAAGTATTAGTAACTCTTGGATTTTGCATTAATTTTTCAATGTGCCTAAGATTCCCAGAGTGATAGGCCTATTTGCTGAAGGCTAGGAGAATGTGTATACCTGGTTATCAGCCAGTCTGATAAGACACTTTGAACAAAAACTGAAGTGAGGGAGGAATTAAATCCCTATATAAAGATGTAACATTGGAAGAGTACATAGCAATAAAGAAGCATAACTTGTTCTCAAGAACAGTTCTGATAGTGAAAGGACGTATGTACGTTGAGAAAATAAACATTCCGATGTGTTTTAACATGACAGAGGTTTGGCACATGATAGGTATATAGGCTAAAGGATGGAGAAGGGAAAATCTTACTATGATGGTATATTGTAGCTTTTCCTATTCAAGTGAAGAAACTATGAAACATCCAGATATGGCTTGGGAAAAGAGGAGGAGTCACAACTAAAAATAAGACCATAACTGTTTGGACTCCTTCAGCCTTAGTTACCTTAGGGACAACATTCTCTCTCTCTCTTTTTTTTTTTTTTTTTTTGGTTGACACAATCTCATTGTCGCCCAGGTTGGAGTGCAATGACGTGATCTCAGCTCACTGCAATCTCCACCTCCCGGGTTCAAGTGATTCTCCTGCCTCAGCCTCCCGAGTAGCTTGGACTATAGGTGTGTGCCACCTTGCCCAGCTAATTTTTGTGTTTTTAGTAGAGACAGTGTTTCACTATGTTGGCCAGGCTGGTCTTGAACTTCTGACTTCAGATGATCCACCTGTCTTGGCCTCTCACAATGCTGGGATTACAGGTGTGAGCCACCATGCCTGGCCTACATTCCCTCTTAATTTGAGAAATCAGTGAAGGGGGACTGCTATTCCAGTCAAATCCTGGCTGATAAGAAAAAGTCGGTTGGTAAAGTTACAGGAGGGAGTAACTATTTTTGTACTTAGCAAACACATGACTCTTAGCAAGTGACTTTATTTTTATAAACCTCTCTGTACCTGGAACCTGATGCTCAATTATGTGGAAGAGAGGCCCTCAAGAGCATGCTGCAAAACTTTGTCCTTCGTCAGTGAATTAGGGGAAGACATAGATGGGATGCTTACCAATTCTGCATGTCACAGTGCTGAATGGAGGAGCTAATCTGTGAAGGGCAGAATTAAGAAACAAAGAGAAAGCTCTAACATAATAAATAGGGAGAAACATAATACCTATAGGTTCAAAAAATTAACTATACACCATGAACACCAAACTGAAACAACAGGACATACGAAAAAGTATTAGGCTTTAGTTAATTCACAGTAAAATCCAGATAAGCAAAAAAGCTAATACAAACCTTAAGTTTATACAGAAAAGCCCCATTTTCTCAGCAGTACCTTCAAAATATCTTCATGATGTCCATATCCAAAACATAAAGACAGATGATGTTACGAATCTGGAGCAGCTTCAAGAGAGAGAACTAAAATGACAAGAGTACCCCAAATTATGTTAGATTAGCCTTTTCCTTTATTTATTCCCATTTTAAACTTTGGTTTGAAATTTAGGGAAACATCATGGCTGTCTTTTTATAGGCTATGTGGCTGCAGAATATCAAAATATAGTCTTTGAGAAGTAGATTTCAGCTCTGAATAAGGAAGAATTGTTAGAACCATGCAAGGCAGGAATGCATTGCCTTGGAAACTATTGCTAGTCAGCTGTTATTTCCTGTGTTTGGTATATGAGATCCCCTGCCAGGGGTATTTTTGCGAGTAGCGTGTATATATGATCAATCTTTTCTCTATCCACTAAACTAATTAGAGGCTGCACTTGTTTTCCTTTAAGAGACGTGGGAGAAAATAGGCTTATGTACAGATTTTTTTCTTTTTCTTTTGAGAGGCAGTCTCACTCTGTCACTCAGGCCTGAGTGTGGTGGCGCAGTCACAGCTCACTGCAGCCTCACCCCCTTGAGCTCAAGTGATCCTCTTGCTTGAGCCTCCTGAGTAGCTGGGACTACAGGTGTGCATGGCCACACTGGCTAATTTTTGTATTTTGTGTAGAGATGGGGTTTTACCATGTTGCCCAGGCTGGTCTCAAACTCCTGAGCTCAAGCAATTCACCCACCTTGGCCTCCTTTAGGAGTGCTGGGATTACAGGCATGAGCCACCCCACCTGGCCTGTTTATGACAAAAACGTCACCATTTGATATTAGAACGTTCTGAGTGTTGGTGGGGTCCCTGTGACCGTGTAGCCCTGTGTGTAGGAAGTGAGGCTCTCTGTTTCTGTTCTATTATTGCCTCACGTGCGTTTTTATTAGACTTCTTTGGTGTCCCTGTCTTTGTCGACAGCAGAGATAGGGCTGTTAAATGAACATTTTACCAGGAAAAGATGAGACACATTTCTTTCTTAAGAACATAATTATGGCTTCCCTCACCGAATGATGTAATTGTTCTTCAAGTGTTCAGGGGCTAACACTAAGTAAGGCTTTTTTGCTTTTGTTTTTTCTTTTTTTTATAATGTGGAGACTGAAAAGCAGTTGAAGTAGTTTACTATAGTGAGGGCTGTGATTAGGGTTGGTGAGACCCTGGATCTGTGCAGCTGGAAGCAGAAAGAAGATGGCGAGACCCCAGATGGTGGGGATTGGTACATTGGGAACCTGTTTTGCCCGGTTTAGAATTTTGTTGAAAGGCAGTATTCTATGCATATTATGTGTCTGTAGAAATGGATTGTAGTCTGTGTGAATGATTAGTCTCATCTCTGTGGTAATAAAATGTTTTGCAAATCGTTTTAAATGTATTTGAAGTGCTTTGAATGCCAGGATGAGGTATGGGAGCAGGGAACAAGATAAATAGCATCTTCTGATTGATATATATTATAACTCCTGTGCCTGGTGTTTGACTCTCTTTGTAGGTGAGCACTCTTGGGGAGAGAGTGGTTCTATATGTTCTGAATCGAATTATTTATAGAAAACAGGAAATGGAGAGAAATGAGATCCCATTCCTGTGTCATAGCAGTACTGATTATGCTAAGATTCTGTGGAAGAAAGGAGAGGCCATTGGGTTTTATTCAGTTAAGCCTACAGGTGAGTCTTTAAAAGTTATTTCAACTATGTACTATGGAAATCTCCATTTTAGACCCCTCCAACTGTATCACTATCTCTGTTAAATTAATCTCTAGCATGTGAATTGAGGTGATTTTACTTAGTATTTCTTGAAGTACTTTGAGTCTACCATCCTATGAAAGTGAGGATTGTTGGGAAAGTGTTTTGAAAAAACAAACATTTGATCCAGACGATTTCTCCACATATTTGGAGACATGGTTGTACATTGGACCTCATATTTGTCTGTCTTCTTGCCTTCATATTTCCAAAAGTTGTTGTTTACCTTGATTCCCATTGCTGTTATTATTAACAGGCTCCTTCTAAAACCTCAGTCTGCCTGTGACCCAAATGCATAGCCTGTTTCTGCATAGTACACCTGATTCAGCCTGACATACGAAAGAGCAACGTGGCTAATTACCAAGAAAAACAGAATGCTTTAATATATTTAGTAGATGCAAACAGCTTTGAAATTGTTACTCTAAAGTATGTGTTTCTGATCGTAAGAGCCAACTATACCCTATCCTTAAAAAAACGAGTGCAACCTCATACTGGCTTTACTTGTCCCATTCATTCAGCTCCCTAGAGCTGCTGGAGCCTGGAAGCTCTAACCTACTTTCTGTGTGCACATACAACCCACACGTTGTTACCACCAAAGAACAAAGTCTGTCTTGTTCTACATCTTGACCAAAAGACCTTTCACAGAGAATACCTTAGTCTCTTTTTTATTTCCATTTCAGATTTTCCAAACTTAGCTCTTCTGGTCATACCCAGTTTAAAGATCCTGCCAGTTTCACTGCTGATTTGATGAACAGTTGTGACTGTTACCTTGATCTTATAATTAGTACACATTTGTGATGAGAATTAGTGCATATAGTTAATAAAAGGAAGGTCATTTTTTTCCTAAGAATAAAAAACTGATGTGCAGTTTAAAATGTTTTTTCTTGAGGTAAATACTTTGGGTGCTAGTGTGCATTGCAGAATAGCATCACCTTGTTGTTTTCAAATGTTTTTATGTTTGAAGTTGGGCTGTGAATTAATTGCTTTATGCTTTATTTTATGTAAGACAATTCCTGTGGGATTTGGAGGCTTTTTGTCTCTAATACTGGCTCCAGGGGAGTTTCCTACCTGAAACTAGCTCATAGACATTTGGAGCACAATTAGTTCATGCTTTTTTATTGAGGGCTTCTTTCTATGAAAGACACCCAAGTAACGAGTACAGCCTTCCTATTTAGTATTTCTGATCAGTATTTAACTGCAGGAGTGTGCTCTTCTTCTTCATATGCATGCTGAGTCTCCTTCTCTGGCACCTGGCCTCTATTTCTGCTTGTTCTGGGAGTTAACTATTTTATAGCCTCTAGTTTCCAGGTGCTTCTGTGTCTGTCACTTTTAGCACCTTCCATATTTCTCTAATTGTCTTACATTTTTACTATTTATTTTAGTTATTTTCCCTTGTAAGCTCTTTCATCTACCAGGTAACAATGTGGAGTTAGGTGTGCTTATACTAGCCTTTGAATCAGTAGCCATTTAATTCAGGCTAGAAGTGTTTTTTCTCCAAAGGAAACCTAACCATAATTTAAATACTTCAGAGAAATTGTCCAGAACAAATACTAAACACTTTGTGATAAAAGTATTTCTGATATATGTGTGTGTGTGTATAGATATACACTTTTTATATGTAAGTATAAAAATATATATTTATAAAGCATATAAGTATGTAAACATATATGAAGCATGTATTTATATAAACATATTTCATGTATATATACTGATATATATAATGCTTTTCTCTACACCAGTAGCAAAAAAGATAAAATGTTAAGATTTGTAGTTGAATGAAAGTCTTGTGAAATCATTATTTATAATTTTAAAATTAAATAGCAAATCAGTTTATGGGGCTCTTAGGATATAGAATAGCCCTGATAGAAAAGGAGACTTTATTTATGAGATCAAATTCTAGTACAGTACAAAGAAATTCAAATAACTACATAAATTCTTTTTTGCCTGAAATAAAGACGTCACTGTGAGAGACTTAACAGTTGTTCGTTTTTTGGATTAGGTAGATAGTTTTGATATAAAGGTATTTGGTTTTCTTGTTTGTTTTTTTCTACTTTTTTATTTATTTATTGAGACAGAGTCTTGCTCTGTTGCCAGGTGCTAGGCTGGAGTGCAGTGGTGCGATCTCGGCTCACTGCAACCTTCGCCTCCCGGGTTCAAGCAATTCTCCTGCCTCAGCCTCCAGAGTAGCTGGGACTACAAGCGTGTGCCACCACACCCAGCTAATTTTTGTATTTTAGTGGAGGCGGGGTTTCACTATGTTGGCAAGGATGGTCTCCATCTCTCGATCTTGTGATCCATCCGCCTTGGCCTCCCAAAGTGTTGGGATTACAGGAGCCATCGCGCCCGTCCCATTTTCTACTGTTATTTTAATTTAATGAGCTCATTATTCCTTTAAGGTATTTTTCATTTTTTCTCATTATTTATGTGATCTTTTATACTTTCAAACAATTCTCCAAAAGCACCAAATGTTTCAAACTAGTCTTTCAAATGAAGTTAAAAAGAAAAAAATTCAAGCAAATTAGTGTTTATTTTGCAGTTGAAGGAAATATTCAGAAAATAGTTGCTTGTGATTCCTAAATTTATCTTAATTTATTGGTAAAATAAGTTACTTTGATCAGCAGTTGTTTACTTAATATAATTGATTCTTTCATCAGATATTTTTGAAAAAGAACATAGAGATTAAAGGTATTGTCACTGCTTTCAAGTCATGGGTAATTCCTGAGACCTGTTTGTATCTCATTATGTTTTTGGTTATGATGGTTGGTTCAGATCTGTCCTTAAGCTCTAGAGATGATGGAGAACAAAGAGAAGCAGAATGATTTACAACTTAACATATACCACACTTGTCACAGGTCCAGGAAAGTGAAATGATTCATAAGAAATTTGAAAATATACAAGTTGAGTATCTCTAATCTGGAAATTTGAAATCCAGAATGCTACAAAATTTGAAACATTTTGAGTGCCAACCAGACGCTCAAAGGAAATGCCTGTTGGAGCATTTCAGATTTTGGATGTTTAGATTAGGGTCGCCCAACTGGTAAGGAAAATGCAGATATTCCGAAGTCCCCTCAAAATCGGAAATCCAGTCACTTCTGGTTCTCAGCATTTTGGGTAAGGTTTATTCAGTCTGTACCTTAATTACTCTATTCTTTTTCATTTGCATACATCAAGACTGCTGATGAGTTTGAGCTTGAAGAAATTATTAATGAAATAATTAGAACAGCTTATTCAGACAAGTCAATCTATAGAAACTTCCCTATTTAGTCTACTGTACCACTCAGAAATTATCTTAAGGCAAAATCAATATTAGTATCAAAGATTTTGGATTTTCTTACAGTATTGCCTTTAACTTCTAAGTTGTGTTTCTTAAAACTATCGTTTATTAAATAATAATTTTAGCAATAATAGTATTTTAGGTCCTATATATTGCCATTGTGGTAAGTGGTGTAGTTATTTCTAGATGTGAATTTCTAGATGTTTCACATTGTAATGTCATTGATATTTTTGCTATAATTTTTTTGTCAGTCTGTTCTTTTAGTCAACTTATTAAGCATAACTCCAAATTACATTTGTAAATAGTATACTTTGTAAGTTACAATTCTAAATATTTGAAAGTCATCTATTTACAATGAAAGTTGTGCCTACAGAGCAAACAGGAATTTAATTCAGAATTATCTAGAACCTGTAAAAACTGAGTAAGGGCTGGGCGTGGTGGCTCACGCCTGTAATCCTAGCACTTTGGGAGGCTTAGCTGGGTGGATCACCTGAGGTCAGGAGTTCTGGCCCAACCTGGCCAACATGGCAAAACCCATCTCTACTAAAAATATAAAAATTAGTTGGGCATGGTGGCACATACCTGCAGTCCCAGCTACTTGGGAAGCTGAGGCAGGAGAATCACTTGAACCTCTGAGGCAGAGGTTGCAGTGAACTGAGATCATGCGCCTGTACTCCAGCCTGGGTGACAGAGTGAGATGCCATCTCAAGAAAGAAAAAAAAAAAAAAAGAAAGAAGGAAAAAAAAGGGAAAGAAGAAAAAAGAATAAGAATTAAAATAGTTTCTGAGAACAGAGGCTATTTCTTAAGTTATAAAAACCTTATTTACACTGTTTGCCTTCTTAGGGTTCAGAAGGAAAGATAGTATATATTTCCTTTAAATACTGGTGGCACCATTTGAGGGGAAACTTAGGGAAATAAATGCATACAAATGGAAAATAAGAAGTATAAGAGATAACGATAATTGCTTGTAGTGAATTTTTGAGTTTTTTGGCTTTGCTTTCTGAAATAGATTTGGAAACTACCTAGCATATAATTTGCTCCTTTGATTCCTTTATTGTGAGAATTATTTCAAATTTTTAGTAAGTTATGGTTTGAGAGATAAGAATTGAGTGATTTCATTTCTCTTTTGTTACATTAACCATTTCTTTCTCATTGTATTTCAGTATTTGATAAGTAAACTGTAATATATCTCAAGAATATAATATAGTCATTTTGTTTTCTGTCAATTGTGGGGCTCCAAATAGAATATAATTCGGTTTTTAGACAAAAAAGCTGCTTTTAGGTAGCAGTTTACCCTGCAAAGATGTCTGACAATACCTCCTTTTTTTTTTTTTAAAGAGAGATAAGCATATTAGTTAACATCTTCCGAGTTTTATCCATTATAGTAGAATATCCTGTTAGGAAGAGACACCTGTTCCCTACCCCCAAATCTCAAGAAAAAATTGTTTCCAGGTAGAGTTATAAAACTTTATATTCTCTACATTTCAAATCAAATTCTATTATTGTTGAAAAAAATACATATAGACTAACTTAAGCTTTTATCCTGGTTATCTTTTTGTTTTTAATTTTTATGAATACATAATAGTTGTACATATTTTGGGGGTACATGTGATATTTTAATATAAGCATACAATATGAAATGATCAAATC